GTCATGTTATAAACTTTCATGACTCAGTTTGATAATTCATTAAACACTTTAAAAGATTGACATATGATCATGAATTTGAAGTCAATGTATTTTTAAACACTTACCCAAATGGTAAATATTGAGCTGGTATTGCTTCAAAATAGAGAGAGAGAGGGAGGGAGAAAACAAGAAAGGTTATGAGGCCATTGATGAAGGGAACACCTTCTCACTGAAACAAGACATGTAGAAAGTAATACAAGAAATATTAAAGACTGATAGTAACAATACAATCATCTCTTCCTGTACTAGGTCAGAGAAACTCATCACACAGTTTGTTTGGGTTTTTTTTCCTAATTAATACTTGGATAGTTAGTAAAATAGTACCATATTTTCAGGTGCTCATGAAATGGACAGAGGACCAATCAGAAGATGCTGTTCAAAGCTGGATTAAAGCTTCCATTTGCATGCTACCTGATTTTGACACTGGCCACAAAGAAGGGTATCCTGGCTTACCCCTATTTTCCATTAGTCATTATTACAATTTTGTAACATTTGCTTCAAGAAATATGTATGGAGTACATACCTCTCCCACAGCTATATGCCACTGCAGGGTTGTACGTGCATTGGGGTGATCCTCCCTGGGCCAGTTCCTACAGTCAAAAAATTGGCAAGAGTGATCCAAAATGGGCACCCCGTTCTCAAGATTTTGGCCCAGAATATAGATCACAGTCCTTTACTTGAGAGAATTCAATAGACAATAAATACCCTTTGTTCCTGTGTACAGACTTAAAAGTAAAAAATAAATAGATTTCATAGACATTAGGGCTGGAAGAGACCTTGGAAGATCATCAAGTCCAGCCCCCTGCCCGAGGGGCAGGAAGTCAGCTGGGGTCATAGGATTCCAGCAAGATAAGCATCCAAATTTCTCTTGAAGGCGTTCAATGTAGGTGCTTGAACCACCTCCAGTGGCAGGCTATTCCAGACCTTCAGGGCTTGGATAGTGAAGAAATTCTTCCTTATATCCAGCCTGAAATGGTCTTGCAGGACTTTAAAACCATTTGACCTTGTCATCCCTTGGTGAGCTCTGGTGAACATTGTTACCCTAGATCCTGGTGGTCACCCCTGATAAACTTACAGGTGGCAATCAGATCGCCCCCGAGCCCATGCTTTTCCAGACTAAAGAATCACACAGCTCTCAGCCTGTCGTCATAAGGTCTGTTTTTCTGACCTATGACCATACATGTGGCTCTTCTCTGGAGTCTCTCAAGATTCTCCACATCCTTTTTTAATTGTGGAGCCCAAAACTGGACGCAGTACTCCAGCTGCGGCCTCACCAAAGTTGAGTACAACAGGTGAATGACATCCCGGGATTTGCTTGACAAGCATCTATGACTGCAAACCAGCATTTTGCTTGCTTTACTAGCTGCAGCATCATCACATTGAAGGCTCATGTTCATCTTTTGGTCAATCATGAACCCAAGAGTCCCTTTCATCTGTAACGCTAACCAGCGTAGCACTGCCGAGCCTATAAGGATGCTGCAGGCTGG